AAATCAATCAATTCTCGAAATTGAATTATTTATTATTAACACAAATATTTCATATAATTTCTATCTAAAAATTATAAAAATAACTAACAAGAATGAATTATCAAATGTTAACTTTAAATGCAGAAGCTGTTTATGATTTTGATAGGATTCTTCAGATGAATTATTTCGCGATGTTTAGGCTTTCTATCAATCAACAGCAATTAAAATTAGTCAGTACTTTTAATTCATGTAAATTTCATAATCCATGCTATCGTGTTAGTTCACAGAATGAGAATGGATTATATTTAGCGGCTGGTTAAAATTCGAAAAGAAAAAATACTTTTAAGAAATTATTCAAGAAATCTGCGTAAAATAATTTTAAAACTATCAAAAAATAAAAAAAATCAATCAGAAAATATATTCCACAAATTAGTAATGAAATAATTTACCAAAAAGTCGCTAACAATAAAATTTAACAAATAAATAAAATAAATTTAAAAAAAAAACATTAAAAACACCAAACTACTAACAATATTATGAGACAAAGAATGAATAAAAGAAGACATTAAACTTACCAAAATTAATACAATTTTTTAAAAGCAATGAATAACTGAATTCAAAGTAATAACTCTTTCGTGATTTTAAGTTAATCATAAGCGAACTGTGTGATATTTTTTGTTTCACAAATTTTTGATTTTGACCGTATCGACACAAAAAATGACACACTAAAAAAAAATTGCTACGGAATCCCTAAATTGCTCCACTTCCTTATCTCAAACTTTGAATTCAGTTACTTTCACGAGAAGTTATTCAACGAAAAGAAATTTTATTTTTTTGATTTTTTTTTTATTTTTTTATTTTCTCATTCTCTTATTTCTTATAAATTTGGTTCGAAATTGGCTTACCCGCTTGGACGTATTGCATTGGACGAAAATGGAAAATCGGGATAGGCAGCGACAGGTTTGACCACGTGGAGAAGGCCGAATGCTCTCACTGACCTGAAAGAAAAATTTACTCATTAGAAAAACTATCAGATGGACATTATGAACATTTCCTTTTTCACTCTCAAATTTCATATCTCGAACTTTACTAATTTCTCACCTGGAATGAAGAGCAAATCCCCTTCTCTCCTCACAAGCTCTAATCGACGGCGCTTCACCTGCCTCTCATTGATTACGGCCGCACGTGACCTCGGGCACCAATCGAGGTTATGCAGCTCCAATGCTGCCGGCTTTTATGCAGCCGTAAAATCGGGTGGCAGCAAGAGATAGTGTCCACAACGGACACAAACCTGCAATGTGTATAATTAATGAAAAATTCATTTCTAGCAAAAATTTAGATCAGATAACAACTAGAAATTTCGTTTTAAATTACTTACCACCTTGCCTGTGCATTCTCGAGGCATGAATGCGCCACCCTTTGATGGTCTCAAACTGCCTATCGCAGGTACCACACACTAAAAATAGAAATTATTAGGAAACTTTGTTACACGAACTATTTGTTCAGTGAGTGAAGGAGGAACTTTTTTAGTTTCACTCATAAATATGATTTTGTCAGTAACAGATCAAAATATAACGAATTTTTAAGTCAGACAAATCACTTAATGCGTAATAAGAATTATTAAAAATTATAAAAATAAATAGATTACCGATGCCACTGTTTCCTTGTCCTCGGGCCACCGTGTATGGTTTTGCCCACGGCACCTGCAATTCCCTCCGGAATTGCTCCGGTAGGTCGCCCAAATCTGCAGGGCGGAATTCTTCTGGTGCTGCCGCGGCCGATGTTCCCTGCGTGGCCAGAACCGGGATTGTGACTTGATCTTCTGAAGCACGCTTAAATTTAATAAAAATTATTTAACCACTTCATGTGACATGTAATACAAATAGCTGCCACTTTAATTATTCATATTTTTTCAGAAATTAAACTTACAGGACGAGTTCGCGAACAGTCTCCTCCGGCTCTTCATTGCTACTGACCTCCATTGGTGCCGCCGATCCTCAGTCCTTCAGTCTCATCGTCCGGCAGAGAGGCCCACTCTGCTCCGGACGGCCAATGTTCTTCATCCTCATCGTCCGGCAGAGGAGCCCACTCTGTCTCATGTTTGTCGAATTCCACTTCCCGAGGCATCGGCTTCTCGTCCACTGCTCGGACATTTCGCTCTCCGAGCTCCTCCAACCTCCTCTCCGCCTCCTGCAAGCGGGTCTGAAGCTCAATCTCGAATTGAAAAGACTACATTTTAACAATGTTGTGTTGAAATTATAGCGCAGCGCTTCTTATAAACTTTTTTTCTCGCCCCAATTAATTTACGATAAAAAGAAAAAGAAAAAGCAAATACTTACCCTCGCCTTTTACTCATATATCTCTGTAATGCACGAAGCATTACAGGCTCCCGCTCTAAATAATTACACACATCGACGATATCCAACTGTTCGACGGGAGCACTCATTCTATAAAAATTAACAAATTTACCAAATCATTCATTAACAATAAGATGGCGCAAAATTTTATATTTCAATCTGCTTAAAATAAGCAATAACACGAAATATGTGCTAATCATCAAACTTGATACATTGAGATTAAAAATCGCACATTAAAAAAATTTAACAATTAGATTACAAAGTAAATAACGGAAGTTAACAGTGATGCGAACATTTTCTTGCCGAGTTATATAACCGAAATGATGATCTCCTGTAAATGACATTATATGCAAATTCGCTAATATATAAATTATGCCATCCTTTTGACCATCCATGAGAGAATGTCTGCTATTATTCACGCGTAATATCTGATACTTCCCATATTACGATCGTGCATATTACTTCTTGACCAGTAATTGTAACTGTACTGTAATCAGTAGTCAGTAATTCTCTATAAAAAAAAATACATTTCTTTTAATCGCAAAAAGAAAAGGAAAAAGAATGTTTCCTTTCTTTGAATATTCCCATTTAAGAATATTAAGCATTGAAATTACCTGAAATTTGCTACCTGTAACATTTTTAGATTAAGATTTCTTCAGAGATTTATTCAGCAATTCTTCATATTTTCACGTTTGATAATCAGTTAATACGTTTGAATTAAGCAATCATATAGTTTGATAACCACAAGAATTTGTTTACTGATTTTATTTTGACGATGGTAATAATTCGAGATTTCTTGTGTCAATGAACTTCTAATTTCAATTTCAGCTTCTTCAGCATTTCTTTTTTATGATCATTGAAGTATTCTTTCATTTTTATGCATAGCTGATAAATGAATTTCCTCTTTTATGAATATTTGACCAAAATTTGCATCTCCCATGGAACGATATGCTCATTTACATGTTTTTTTACATATTCACATATTTACTCTATCGATGATCATAAGGCGAGAAT